GCTTCCAGCTTTTATTCTCCCTATATCAGACTATAATCGGCCAAATTAAAAGAACTGATTTTTTTCTCCTGTGTGCACGTACACGATAGCCAAATTATCCGCTGGTAGTTTTCCCAGCTACTTTGTCTTCAAACTGTTTTCTTATATCGTACAGTACAACACATTCGGCTGCTCGCAGCGGGACCGCCCTTTCTTTTCTTCAGTGATCTATTCATTTGTGCTCTCGCCCTTCTTTTACTCGTGTAGACAAAACACGAAAACAAAAACTATTGACTGTTATGCATCCGGGATCATGAAGTGTTTGTCAGAGTGGAACAGAGAATGGAGAGGGCCCGAGAAAACACGGCCTACTCAGAAAAGTGGAAAAGAGGGCTTTGAAAACTCTTCAAGTGTTCACTTTATTCTCGAAGCATGTTGAAGTAGAAGCCATGAGCAGGGCTTTCACAATGTTTGTGTACGAGGGACTCAATTTCAGGGACATTGTGGAAGAGAAAGCGTTAAAGACACTTGAGATTCTGAAGAAGAAAAGAGTGGAAGGGGAGAGTGGAAAAGGGAGAGAAAGAGATTACGGGTGAAAGAGGTGGGGTGGGCGAAGGGGATAAGAAAGGAACAGAATGAAGTAAATAAAGACACGGGGCGACAGGAAGAGGGTGAGGAAGGGTAGAGAGGTAAAAGGAGAGTCAAGGGGAGGTAAGGGACAGAGAAAGACGGGGATAGAGTTGAAGTGTGTGGGGGAGGGGGGGGACGGCTGCTCGGGAGAGTTTGAGACAAAGGGGACAAACCAGGCATGAAGACAGAGTAATTGTTAGTCGTTTCAAGCTCCAAGTAGAGATTGTTGGCACTTAATACCCGGTGCTCATTGGCACTTAATACCCGGTGCTCGTTGGCACGATCGGTTCGGTTCGGTTCAGTTCGGTTCGGTTCGGTTTGGTAGGAGGGGCTAGCCATATTTGGAAGCGAAAAGCGACCATCGTGGCAAAAACCGAAAGGAGTCGACGCGCCGACGGTGACCCTCAAAGACAAACGCGTTTGTTTTTAATACGGGGTGCCCCTACAGCTGGATCGGGCCGACCGCCCAACTCGGTCGCCTGAAACTGAAAACAAACACGTTTGTTTTTGAGGAAACAATCACGTTTGTTTTAGAGGCGACCGAGCCCGATCGGCCGATCCCATCCGTAGTGGGCACCCCGTATTAAGGCCACGAGTCGTGCGATCGGTTTGTATTAGAGAACCGATCCCCCAATGGACACTGGGTTTAACCGTCAAAATAGACGATAGTGTTTGTGTTCTAAACGTCCACATTTTGTTCCCTGTGATGGTGGCACATGTGGCTAACTTGGCTGATGTCTGTCTAACGATGTCGGTGCCAGTAGACGCAAGGAAGTGATGGATGATTTCTACTTTGTTGTGTCGTTTTGATAGTTCTCTTGGGCATAAATGTGCGCTAAGCAATTATCATCATTATCATTATTATTATTATTATTATTATTATATTATTATTATTATTATTATTATTATTATTATTATTATTATTATTATTATTATTATTATTATTATTAATTATTATTATTATTATTATCATTATTTTTTATATTATCATTATAATCTCTCTTCTGTTTTTAAAAAAGTGTCTATGGTAGTTAGAGTGCAACAGTTCTAGGTCCTATTTCCTCTCGTCCCCTCTAATGTTCCAGTCAATTGAACTTTATTATCTTACTTTCCCCAACACTAGATGTCTGTTATCATGTCCAGTCTGCCTGCATATCTTACTTTTCACCAGCATGTCCTGACCATTATTGTGTCTTTTTGCTGAACATCATTTTAAAAAAAAGAAGAAAAATAACAGAAAAACAAACAAACTAACAAACAAAACAAAAATGTTGATGTGCATCTGTTACCTCAAACAAAACAAGTACATTATTTACTGCCCTTTCTTTCTTATTCATCATCTTGAGGCCGGCAGCTACCTCCGTCTTCCATTGGCTGCTCTCGTCAGCCGACTATCCTCGGATTCTGTAAGTCGATGTCTGTTGAGATCCTGTTCCTCTTGCAGGCATCTTAAAATGTGTCCCAGTAAAAAGTTGTTCCCGCATCCGATCCGGACATTGGCTACTGCCTTGTTAGTGAGACAACTTCCTGGGCCTTCGGCATATTGTGATAGGGTGGCTAGTTCCTTTCCACGCCGCCTTTACTTCCCCAACTCGAAGTCAGGTACCCATTACTACTGGGTGGGCTGGAGGGGGCGAAAAATATCCGTGTCCGAACCGAGGCTCGAACCCGGACTTTCTGCTTCGGAGATGAGCGCACTAACCGCTCCGCCTCAGTGTCCCTGTACATTGTACCATTTTATTCCCTTTGTTATCTCCAGGTTTCTTTCAAATTGGACGTCGTCGCCGAGTCTTCCACTGACGTGAGTGTCAGCTCAGACGACCACGCTGTCATAGAATCAGGTACTACCTGGTCTACCACAATGCTTTTAATTAATTAACTTCGGGATTTGTATTCTTTAAATAAGTCTGAGACAGCTAGCCGGCAGAGATTGATAACCCTAAAATTATAATTTCTTTTAAACATGCGAGATTGTATAGGTTTTATGTCTGTTTCGACACAAAAAAATTATTTAAGCTCCGAACTTAACTACCATCTCCGAAAGGACCGAGTGAAGTGCGAGAATTCGTGTATCGTGCTTTTACCAAGGACAAAACGTCGGGCCAAGCTGAGTCTGGATTCCCCGAACCAGCATTTTCACGGTAACGAGTCCAGTATCCTAATCACTAAAACACAAACGCCGCCACCAAAGTTTGTTATCTGTATGTAGAGATACCTGGCTTCATTTCTTTCTTTCTTTTATTCTTCCTTCCTTTCTATCCTTCTTTCTTTCTTTCTTTGTTTCTTTGTTTCTTTTTCTTTCTTTCTTTCTTTGTTTGTTTGTTTCTTTCTTTGTTTCTTTGTTTCTTTCTTTCTCGAGCCAACCTGTGTGAGACAGATACCACATTCCAGTACAAAAGAGCGTCAAAGGGTCAAATCACTGCAACACAGACCTAGACAGACAAAATAACAGAATTTGAATAGACTACGGATTGCAGAAAGACGAGAGGGGGAGGGGCAAAGCTGCTCGTAAGTCCTTCGGGCTCACAGGTCAATTACGTCGATGAGTGGTTGAGTTGCATCCTAACGACCATATCTCTTCCGGAATAGATTACAATTAGAATAGCATTGGAAAGAAACTAAGGTAGACTAAAGCACGGCTTTCACTTGTCTTGTTTGAGAATCAAGTGTTATTGAGACTGGTTGGATAGGGTTCTCATAAAAACCACTAAAGTATAATATTATCTATTTTAATTTTTCAGCTCAGTTTTCAATGTCCGGCAATAGCATTCAATCTCTCCATATCAAATTCCTTATCTTGGGACTCCAGCTTTTGGGAGTTGATGGATTTCGTCGTTTTTCCTTTTCTTCTATCAAATAGGCCTGGGCAGAAACCGAATAAATTATTCGAATAACCGAATACGAGCCCAAAACTAGGTCTCCGGTTAATTTTTCCAAAAACTAGGTACATAGTTTCTGATTCGTTTTTTTGTTGTTGTTGCTATTGATTCGCTTTGAGAAGCGGAAGAGTGACGTGCCCTTGGCGTTGCACAGAGGGTGTGGGACGGAGGAAAAAGGAGGGGGTGGGCGGGGAGA